ACAGCAAGTTTGACATCTTGTCATTTGACATGACAAGCCAAGAATCAGAAATGTCGCAAAAAAATAAAACATTGAAAGTAAACCCTATCAATTTCAATCATAAATTTTTGATTCTTGTTGAAACATTTGTCATCGTAAAGCCAAGAATCAAAAGTGTCGCAAAAAAAAATAAAATTTTTTTGTTTGAAATATAGAAATAATGGATCCAAAAGCCGTTAATTAAAAGATTTTGCATTAACAAGAAGACCATCTGTGTAAGAAGACCATCTCAGAAGCTGAATAACCAAAAACGATGAATGAAGCGATTTGCGCACTTCCTTCGACATAGACCTATTTTAGTGTCAATAAACAAAGAGAACATAACAAGTTAGATAAATAGCCAAACTCTCAGCTTAATATAATCAACTCTTTTTGTTATAGTTGAAGAATTGTCAGAAAAACTGAATTTCTACTCGTTTCAAAAGTTACCCAAATTTGCTTCCGCATGTCTTGAATTAGATAATATACAGGGTGCGGCAAAAGTTCGGAGCCGCTTCTTAAGATACTTAAAGGTTTAAAAAATAGCTTCAAAAAGTTAAAATTTAGTAACAAATTCTTTATTCGAATCATAACAACAAATAACTTATAGCAAATGCTCGAAATTTCCATCATCCGCTTCGATACACCTCTTTAAACGCTTTGGGAAGTTCCTCACAATGGTGGCGCACGCTTAAACAGTTATTTCATCCCAGACTCGTTTCAGAGCAGATTTTAAAGCATCCACTGTTTGATACGTCTTCATCGAGATCTTGCCTTCCAAAATAGCCCAAACGGGGTAATCGAGGGGATTAAAATCTGGCGAATTTGAAGGCTAAATGGTCTTATCCCAAAAGCCTGGAAACAACTGAGCGCAAACGTTGAGAGTTGAGTGAGCACCATGCGCCGGAGCCCAGTCCTGTTGCAGGGAAAAACCAGCTTGTCCAAAGTGATTTGTTGCCCAATGTTTCAAGACATCTTTTAATACCAGTTGTTGGCAGTTTTTAGCATTCATCTTGACGTTTCTGAAATCAATTTTGAAATCAGTAACGTCAACAGCAAGTTTGACATCTTGTCATTTGACATGACAAGCCAAGAATCAGAAATGTCGCAAAAAAATAAAACATTGAAAGTAAACCCTATCAATTTCAATCATAAATTTTTGATTCTTGTTGAAACATTTGTCATCGTAAAGCCAAGAATCAAAAGTGTCGCAAAAAAAAATAAAATTTTTTTGTTTGAAATATAGAAATAATGGATCCAAAAGCCGTTAATTAAAAGATTTTGCATTAACAAGAAGACCATCTGTGTAAGAAGACCATCTCAGAAGCTGAATAACCAAAAACGATGAATGAAGCGATTTGCGCACTTCCTTCGACATAGACCTATTTTAGTGTCAATAAACAAAGAGAACATAACAAGTTAGATAAATAGCCAAACTCTCAGCTTAATATAATCAACTCTTTTGTTATAGTTGAAGAATTGTCAGAAAAACTGAATTTCTACTCGTTTCAAAAGTTACCCAAATTTGCTTCCGCATGTCTTGAATTAGATAATATACAGGGTGCGGCAAAAGTTCGGAGCCGCTTCTTAAGATACTTAAAGGTTTAAAAAATAGCTTCAAAAAGTTAAAATTTAGTAACAAATTCTTTATTCGAATCATAACAACAAATAACTTATAGCAAATGCTCGAAATTTCCATCATCCGCTTCGATACACCTCTTTAAACGCTTTGGGAAGTTCCTCACAATGGTGGCGCACGCTTAAACAGTTATTTCATCCCAGACTCGTTTCAGAGCAGATTTTAAAGCATCCACTGTTTGATACGTCTTCATCGAGATCTTGCCTTCCAAAATAGCCCAAACGGGGTAATCGAGGGGATTAAAATCTGGCGAATTTGAAGGCTAAATGGTCTTGTCCCAAAAGCCTGGAAACAACTGAGCGCAAACGTTGAGAGTTGAGTGAGCACCATGCGCCGGAGCCCAGTCCTGTTGCAGGGAAAAACCAGCTTGTCCAAAGTGATTTGTTGCCCAATGTTTCAAGACATCTTTTAATACCAGTTGTTGGCAGTTTTTAGCATTCATCTTGACGTTTCTGTCCAAAAAAACCGGCGGTGTCTTGCTTGTAGCACACCTACCTCCACACACCATAATCGAGTCTAGTCCTACTTATCGAATGTGGTATTGCAAATGAACTCAAATAGCTCCTTATGGATTTTCACCTTTGGACTCAAGTCTTGCTACATTTTCTCAGTCTTAGTTTAATACCTCCGTTCAGCTCTTTGAACATGATCTATTTAAAAAAGCGAGGCGTCTCATTGAGTGAAAAAGGAAAGTACAACTCAGCTCCTACTCAATCCGTCCAAAGTAGAACGGTCACCAAGACGAAGACAACTCGACACTAAAAATCTGATTTCATTTGTCGTTTTCGTCAAAAACCTTTCAAATGCGTTTATTTAAGAAAACACCAGAATAACATAACACTCGAGAGATATTCCCGTTTTTCAGTTGCAGTTGGCGGCTCCACTCACGCAGTAACCACCATTTGGATAGCCGTTTGTCGAACAGCAAGAGTCGACGTTCTGAAAAGGATCAACTTGGAAAGGAGGCAAGAAAATTGTGGCAATGTGTCTGATTTTTCGAAATAAACCTTTATCCCACTTTTTTTTCCCCTTTGCCGTAACGAGCTAGGGTTTTTGCAAATTTATAATTCGACTCACCGGACAAGCGGAGTTGCATGCCGGGACGGCCACGGCGTTCACCATGGATGAAGAGGCTAAAACCTTTGGTTTCTTTAGAACTTTGAAGCTAATTTTAGCTTAGAACTATTTTTTTGGTAAACCACAACCGAACCATACCAGTTTGCTATAGGCTATGGGTTTGCTTGTTGCTCTACGCTTGGGTTTACAATAAGGTTCGTTCTAAGTGCTCACTAGAGTGTGTTCTTCTAGAGTAATGCCCCTTCTAAACAATACCTACAACTACCGTAACCAAGCACAATAGCCAAGCAGCTACCGTAACAAGTTTCCATCAATTTTTGAAAGAACAGCTTTTCAGAGCTTACTAGTAAGCTTTCATGTTATTTAAAACTTGGACCCACTGAAGACGAGAAGAACGGCGAAGAGAAGAGCGAGGCAAGAAGAGAGAAGACGCATTGTTTTGGTTTGAAGCTGGGAACTGATGCCAGATGGAGATCCTTGTGAGTGCCATTGTATTTATATGGAAGCTCGATTTGATAAGCCTCTCGACCCTCACGACCTAAAACAGCAAAAACCCGGGATCGACAAAAAACTTTATGAGCAAACAGATAAGGCATTCTTGGCTCAAGTTTTTGTCGAATTTTAAGAGTCGAAAATCCGGATGAAGATAAGCGCTTTTGGGTGGGCTGTTTTGAAAGAGGAAGTAAGCCAAAGGTCACTGGAAACACTGTAGTTTCTAGTTTAATGGATCCTTTTGCATTTTGAACTTGCAAGGCTTTTTGGACGAGGATGTTTGGCAAGTTCCTATGCGTTGTCCGTTTTAATGCAGCGTTTTTTCACAAGTTATACACAGATGGTCCGTTAATGCAAAATCTTTCAAAATTAACGGCTTTTGGATCCATTATTTCTATATTTCAAACATAAAAGTTTTATTTTTTTGCGAGATTTTGGATTCTTGGCTTGTCATGGCTTGCCATTTTCTTTTACACCTTAATATATTGTTAGACTCAGGTATCTTCCTGAATTATTTGCAACAGTGAAGTAACCGTAATTTTTAAAATTGACTGGGGAATGTTTGATTTTACAACGCTCAAACTCTCGCGACCATTTCAGGTGTTAATGGAAAGATTTCTGACAAAATTGAGTCAAGTATTACATTTCCCTAATAGTCGCAAATAGCAAATCAAAACCCCAAGCTTTTGATTCTTTTTTGCAGAAATGAACCCTGAAAGAGCCACCTCAAAAAATTATGAGAGAAATTGATAAGGTTCACTTGAGAAAAACCAGTGTGGAACAACCACCGAAGAAAAAAAAGACTCAAAGAAAAAAATAGATAAAGCCATTTCAATCTGTTTTGAAGGCAGTAAAATGAAATTGTGTTCTGGGGGTCTGCTGTGAATTTTGTCTTCAAAAGGGTTGTTTGGTGATGAATTGGGGTTTTGTTCGAAATGTTTGCAAGTTTTGGGATCCTCAATTTGAAATCATTGACAAGTAATTTGAAATCAGTAACGTCAACAGCAAGTTTGACATCTTGTCATTTGACATGACAAGCCAAGAATCAGAAATGTCGCAAAAAAATAAAACATTGAAAGTAAACCCTATCAATTTCAATCATAAATTTTTGATTCTTGTTGAAACATTTGTCATCGTAAAGCCAAGAATCAAAAGTGTCGCAAAAAAAAATAAAATTTTTTTGTTTGAAATATAGAAATAATGGATCCAAAAGCCGTTAATTAAAAGATTTTGCATTAACAAGAAGACCATCTGTGTAAGAAGACCATCTCAGAAGCTGAATAACCAAAAACGATGAATGAAGCGATTTGCGCACTTCCTTCGACATAGACCTATTTTAGTGTCAATAAACAAAGAGAACATAACAAGTTAGATAAATAGCCAAACTCTCAGCTTAATATAATCAACTCTTTTTGTTATAGTTGAAGAATTGTCAGAAAAACTGAATTTCTACTCGTTTCAAAAGTTACCCAAATTTGCTTCCGCATGTCTTGAATTAGATAATATATACCGTAAATACTCTAATAGAAGTGCATGCGCCTCTAATTTATCTGGTCATTCTTAGAATGGCCTCACCGCTTTTTGTGAGGCAAACGGCAATCCGAATGGTGGCTACTGCGTTAATGGAGCCGTCTTCTGTGACTGAAAAACGTGAATATCTCGAGTGTTTTCAATGCTCATTTGACTGGAAACTATCACAGTCAAACTGCTCGTTTACATCCGATCAGCTCGATCGGAGGATTGTATCACCGTCATCTATGCAAATTGTGGCCAGATGGGCGAGCGGTTAGGAGTCTTGTCTCTTCAGCGTAAGGTGGAGGGTTCAATCACGCTGGCCAGATAAAACAGGCCAGATGGTTCTTGAAACATAGAGTTGAGACTATAATAGCGAATTGAATTACCCGCATCAAGCTTGGGCATAGAGGTATTGTTAATTTTACTGGAAAAGGATTTTCTACCACAGGAGTGGTAGGATACTAGACATGGGTAACAGGTTCAACAAATAAAAGCCGGATGTTTCTTTTGAAAAAAGCTACTATTAAAAATGGTGTTTCTTTTGAAAAAAGCTACAGCATCAGCACAACTGCTCATTTTCTAGATCAGAAATCATATATATGTTCGCCAACAGAACATATATATTCGAGTACATCGGCACTTCCTAAAACAGTTGTAACGTTAGGTAAAGTTAAATTCCATTCATAATCATTATAATGTTCTTACTTTTGCAGGATCTTTAATAACGGGAATATAAAGAGCGCCGAAAGCTTTGCTGTTAAAAGGAACCGATCTTCGACCGGTCCAAAGGCCATACAATATTCCAATCGTGAGCCAAAGAGAGAATGGAATCTTCTAAATATTCATTAGCAAGCAAAATCTAAGAACTTTAGACAACATTACTGCAATTTAAGATCAAATCCTTTAGATTTGATCTTTAGAGCCGTGCGAGTACAAGACGCCACGCTGGAAGACTGATAGGTAGGGTCTAAGCGGGTGAATGGATGATAACTTCTGCATTTAGTGCTTTCCTGGAGCGCTTGATGAGGACCGAACACTTGGCGCACTTCCCGCGCTACATTCCCAAATACAACCAGCCATCCAGATTCCAAGTCGTCGTTCGATTTCTGAATTTCTTCGAAAAACTTTACTCGGAATTGATTGGATTGATTGGAAACGGAAATGGTTTGAAGCAATGGAAAGCAATGGATGATTACGGTACCTAGTGCAATTTAGAATCCATCCCCAAATTTCCTCTTTTCCAGTGGATGGTCAAGATGTTCCTGTTCGAGTGGACAGATCGCCGTTTTGAGATGTTGTTGACAATATTCACGTTTGCTTCAATTCAAATCTACGGGGAATTGGACAAGCACGAGGATATTGTGAGTTGACAGGAAAATCGGTTGATAACGAAACCGTTTTAGACTCAGGTCGACTGTGAAACATTAGAGCAATGGGCCTTTGTCATTGAGCAGGGAATTTGGTGAGTTTTTAGTCGTCCGGCTTGGTCTAAAGCGAATTTGTTATAGGTATATGGACCAGGTGGAGGCAAAGAAAGAAGAGCGCTGGATGAGCGACGAGGAAATGATTCAATGCCTTCAACAGATGGATGTAAGTTTTGATAAGTAGACTAGGTTCAACAATACATATCGAAACTTGGTGTAAGTATAGAACTTTTCAGTACTAGGTGAATTTAAATCTATAGAAAATGCCGGAGCCATTTCCGATTACTTGGCCGGGGTGTAGTCGGGCAACGGTGCCCAAACGCCGCGACACTTTTGATACCAACTAAAGAATATTTTGAGCTGGAACTAGAGCTAGAATTAGAGCTAGAGTTCGCCAAGAAAAGCTAGATGACTCGTTGAAACTTGCTTTTCCCAAAAACTATCGATTACTGTATTTGAATTGGATTGTCAATCTGGATAAAAATAGAGCCACGTCGTTTGCTATCCTGCGTAAGTTCCCGTCTATTACACCGTCATCTATGCAAATTGTGGCCAGATGGGCGAGCGGTTAGGAGTCTTGTCTCTTCAGCGTAAGGTGGAGGGTTCAATCACGCTGGCCAGATAAAGATGTGTCAAGCAGAAGGTGGTCGAAAAGATTTCAATAAAAATTAGTTCATATTTGGGCATGCCATGGCAATAGGATGGACAATGTTTGATGTTCCCTTGATTTTCATCAAAAAGTTATTTATAATTTCATCGTAGCCCTTTTGGAAGCGAAGATGTCTCAACATTAATTCTGGAGGCCCTTTTTTCTATATCGGGTCCAAAAAAGGGAACGACTCTGATTTTTATTTTTAGTGGTTTTATTTTAGGCTTAAAATAAAATGTAGGCGATGGTGGAATTATTTTAAGCATTTGCGTTCAACAACATTAATTCTCGAGGATCTTTTTCCTTATATCTGTTCTACAAGAACTCGCTGCCTCCACTTTAAAATTGATTTGACGCAAATGTACACACGCTAGATTTCAATAACAACTCGAAAATAGAGGTTTTGAAAATGATTTTTGTAGTTTGGGCTGGGATAATCAAAAATTGTTTCAGTAATCAAAAATTTTGGGAATTTATGAAGGGTCAAAATGAAAAATCGATTTCCGCTTTCCGTTCCCCGAAAACATGCGAATGTGAACGGGTTCGAAACTTTGAAAACGGGAAAGTTTTCCTTGGAATCTTTGCTAGATGCAATCCTGGTTTTCGTTTCTGTCACTTTTTACATAAATCTCACATTCCCGTTGATTCCACAAATCGCCTCTCAATGAGCTTCAAGTTCTGTTGGTCTGTAACCTTGCCACTTGATTTCTCTCGTTTCTCTGCAATTCATCCCAAACTTTTTTCCATTTACGCCAAGGTTTCTTCATTTAAAAAACTTTTTCTCTAGAGCCAGCTTAAGCCAGAAGCTGTATCTCATTCAGCTAGGGAAGACAAGAAAACATTTAATGCTTTTTTAGCTAGACACTCAGAAAATGGCACTAAAAAATCCAAATTTTTAGTTTCTAAGCTTTTACTTTTTAAAAGCGAAATTTGTGTTAGTGCCCTTTGCATCTTGAGTCGCTTGTTTGTACAATTCCTCGAATTCCAAAACCACATCAGTCATGCCTGAAAAGCGAGTCATGCCTGAAAAGATTTTGTACACCAGACTATAGATTTTGTACTGAGATTTTAAAATTTGTAAAAGCTATAAAAACTTACCAGATGGACAGCAAGCTTCTCGTCGATATTCTAAAAACAAAACCCTAGATTGCTAAATCAATGCACTAATTTAATTGCTGTACGTTTCTGGCTCACTCTCCAAATCCCGCTGATCGTTGCTCTTTTCCTCGTCATCCTTCATCTTTGAACTCGTCTCCTCGTCTTCTTTGAACTCATCTCCTCATCACTCTCTTTGAAAGCGTTCGTCTAAAAATGACAATTTGTCTTGTAAATTGTAAATGGGCTTATCCTGGTCAAAAATCAAGTTTTGAGCTATTGCAAAAACAAACTTCATCGTCATCGGTAAACATATCGTCATCTTCATCGCTGCTTCCGTCTGAGTCCCACTTGCCGGCTTTTTTCTTTGTCGTCTTCGTCTCACCATCCTAAAATCAAGAATTAATCCTTGTTAAAAATTAAAATAGCAAATTGGCTAGTTTTAACGTAACGGATTCTTTTTTTCTTGGGCGCTCGTGGTTTCTTCGGTTCCGTTAACGCTTTGGGTTCTTTGGGCTGCTTGGGCTCCGCTGGCTTTCGTTCCTTCTTCGGTTGATCCATTTTCTCGTATTTCTCCTTGAGCGTCTTGTCGATTATCGGCTCAATCAAAGTTTGTCTTTGGTTGGGAATACTTCCTAGAAGCACCGTAGAAAATAATACTTAAAATGCAACGAACCGGCACAACTGTCGGCTTCTTCTTGCCTTTGGTTGGTTCTTCTTTAGCCAATTTCTTTGCGGCAGTCTTCACCGAGCTTTCTGCATCAGCCCTCTCTTTGTCCTCCTAAAAGATGCAATTCTCGAAAGTCATTTCTTTAAAATTTCAAAAAGAACTTTTGGTTGGGCATCGCTTTGACGAGTATGATGTCGATGATGACTCTTGTCAACCTTCAAGAAATGCCAAAAACGTTGCAATTCCCTTTATCAGGTCACTTTCCTTCTATCCTTTATTGGGCCAGGAGTCTGCAGAATCAGAAATTTCAGATCAAAAATCCTGGCAAAAGTTTTAGCGGTTGCTTGTATTAACCAATTTTGTGAAAATCAAAAGACAAAAGTGTCAGAATATCATACAGTATAATATATAGCAAAGGTAAAGCCAAAACTAAAGTAATTTTTGTAAAATGCAGGGATTACTGCAAGAAACTTATTGTGCTTTCATACTTTATAAATCAAAAAGATTTGCAAAAAGATTCTGTTCTGGCTTGCCGAAAAGTAGTCGAGGAATGCTTTAAGATTACGGTTTGAAAGTCAAACTTGGATTACGATAGTCAATGAGCTGACTATCTTAATATCTGATTCAGATCATGCTGATTCAGATCTAGTTTTCAGGAAGCTGTTAACGTGTATCTCGATCGCTTCGATGGCCTTTGATTCTCTTGATTTTCCCCGAAAAGCGAAGGAGCAGAGAAGATTAAAAGGTAAAAAGGTTGATTGAAGTAAAAAATTCCCCAAAAAGTTTATTTAGGACGTGTTTCTTTCGTTTCTTGGCTCTTTTTCTGCACAAAACACTTTGGGTTCTTTATTTTCTTTCAACTTGCAAACCTCACGAATGTCATTGTATTTTTATCGTATTTTCCAAGAATTCTTGCTGATTCTTCTTGGGTGAAAATTAAAGCGTAAAGTCTATGAGTCTCAGGCGAACTTAAGCAAATAAATTTATTTTTAGTTACAAAAAGCAATTTTTGATCAATTTATCAATTAAATCCTCGCGGGGTTTGCCGAGCGACAATCAGTGATCTCAGCAAACTGGCTAAAAAAATTGTGGTTATAAAAAGAAAGCGCTTACAGATTGCTCGATTCTTGATCCTGGAGTGGCCCACCCAGACTTAGTTTCACTTTGTTGTAGTAATTCGTAGTTGCAGGCAAAGCATTAAAGTAATAGCAATGCCAGTGCTCTGCCTGAAAATTAGCATTTCATTGAATTTTCAAAGCGACTTACCGACTCTCCACACTGGGCATCGACTTTAAGATAGAGTTTATCATCCGAACCGATTTCCTGAGTCTTCAGAGTGCAGCTCGCTAAAATATGAACTGCTAGCAAATAAAACGAGACCCACTGCGGCAATAAACCGTATCTAGAGCCTTATCGTGCCACCAATTGGACTTGCCGAGGACGATGTAGGGCTGTTAAAAATTATAAGATGATCAGAATTTCTTATGACAGAATTTAATAAAATTTTACTGGATTTGGCGGATAAGCCCCGTTTGCGCATGTTGGAGTGACGTCGACCTGAAACTCTGAATTTTTAAAAACCTTTGGACCTACTTGAAACGTCCATACGGATGCCGTAGCCGTAGAGAATAGGAGGAAAACACCGAATCTAGCTAGCATTTCGGAATGAAGCTTGTGGAGACGCATACGGAATCTGGCGCTTTTATGCAATCTACAACACAGGTAGGCGGGGCTACAACACAGGTAGGCAGCGAGTTCTTGTAGAACAGATATAAGGAAAAAGATCCTCGAGAATTAATGTTGTTGAACGCAAATGCTTAAAATAATTCCACCATCGCCTACATTTTATTTTAAGCCTAAAATAAAACCACTAAAAATAAAAATCAGAGTCGTTCCCTTTTTTGGACCCGATATAGAAAAAAGGGCCTCCAGAATTAATGTTGAGACATCTTCGCTTCCAAAAGGGCTACGATGAAATTATAAATAACTTTTTGATGAAAATCAAGGGAACATCAAACATTGTCCATCCTATTGCCATGGCATGCCCAAATATGAACTAATTTTTATTGAAATCTTTTCGACCACCTTCTGCTTGACACATCTTTATCTGGCCAGCGTGATTGAACCCTCCACCTTACGCTGAAGAGACAAGACTCCTAACCGCTCGCCCATCTGGCCACAATTTGCATAGATGACGGTGTAATAGACGGGAACTTACGCAGGATAGCAAACGACGTGGCTCTACTTTTATCCATATTGACAATCCAATTCAAATACTGTAATCGATAGTTTTTGGGAAAAGCAAGTTTCAACGAATCTAGCTTTTCTTGGCGAACTCTAGCTCTAATCCTAGCTCTAGTTCCAGCTCAAAATATTTTTTAGTTGGTATCAAAAGTGTCGCGGCGTTTGGGCACCGTTGCCCGACTACACCCCGGCCAAGTACTCGGATAGGCTCCGCCACCGCTCGTGCGCGGCATTTTCTATGGATACGAGCCGCTGGTCGGTCGGTTTGAGTAACATTAAAGGGATTTTTGCCTCAAGTTGCAATAAAAGGAGAATTTCAGATTTCAACGTATAAAAATTGCTGTTTGAAAAGTTTTTAGAAAAGAAAATGTTAGATTTTGCTTGATTTTAAAGAAAGTTTATTAGTTTTTAAAGAAATTATTTTGCGTGCAAAGAAAAAGGGCTGTTTTGATTGATTATTTGATTGATTAAAAAATTGATTAGAAAGGTAGATTTTGAAGCAAAAGAAAATGGCTTTTGAAAACCTTTTTTGGTTTTTTCAAAGTATGCATTGGAAGTGAACCTTATGTGGACCTCTTATAAAGTTATCCAAGTCGAGCTTCGAATCGAGTACTCTGTGCCTTGTATTTCAAACATAAAAGTTTTATTTTTTTGCGATAGTTTCGATTCTTGCCTTGACACCAATTCCTGGTTTTAAGATGTCAAACTTGACATTGCCTGACTTGTCAATGGTTTACATTGATACCGATGCCAAGACTTTCAAACCCTTGAAAGGAAACATCATTTCATCTCCAAACAACCCTTTTCAACGCCATTCACAGCAGATCACTCCAAACACAATCCCATTTTATTACCTTCAAAACATTGACCCGCTCAAATGGCCTTATCTACATTCTTCTTCGAGTTTTTGGGTAGGATCTAAAAAATCTACAATTCTAGAAAATCTAGAAAATCTTTAGTAGTACGAGTAGTCTTAATAGTTTACGATCGAAATTTATTTGTTAACGAGGATTTACTACACAGTAAGTGGAGATATGAGACAAAAGAGAAGAGTAGTCCAACTCAGATTCTCTGAGGGGGGTCAGAGAAATCTCTGAGGGGGGTCAGAGACTCATTTCACTTTAACCCTAATTTTCTCCATAATTTTATTGGTAAGTCTATAAAACAAATTATACATTTCTTGACTGAAATTTAACGTAGATTCTAATGATAGTAAGCAGAAGTCGATTGAATTCTTAGCTCTTCAGTTATAAACCTTTTAAATGGATTGACCTTTTCAGACAAGTAGGTGAACTTTGACCGAAAATTTCTCTATGTTTTTATATTACAGTTTACTGAACAAGTTATAGTTTTCTAGAATACAATTTCATTACCTACATTTTAAAAGCAACCCGAAGTCGATCGGTCAACAGTAAGTGGAGATATGAGACAAAAGAGAAGAGTAGTCCAACTCAGATTCTCTGAGGGGGGGTCAGAGAAATCTCTGAGGGGGTCAGAGACTCATTTCACTTTAACCCTAATTTTCTCCATAATTTTATTGGTAAGTCTATAAAATAAATTATACATTTCTTGACTGAAATTTAACGTAGATTCCAATGATAGTAAGCAGAAGTCGATTGAATTCTTAGCTCTTCAGTTATAAACCTTTTAAATGGATTGACCCTTTCAGACAAGTAGGTGAACTTTGACCGAAAATTTCTCTATGTTTTTATATTACAGTTTACTGAACAAGTTATAGTTTTCTAGAATACAATTTCATTACCTACATTTTAAAAGCAACCCGAAGTCGATCGGTCAACAGTAAGTGGAGATATGAGACAAAAGAGAAGAGTAGTCCAACTCAGATTCTCTGAGGGGGGTCAGAGAAATCTCTGAGGGGGGTCAGAGACTCATTTCACTTTAACCCTAATTTTCTCCATAATTTTATTGGTAAGTCTATAAAATAAATTATACATTTCTTGACTGAAATTTAACGTAGATTCCAATGATAGTAAGCAGAAGTTGATTGAATTCTTAGATCTTGAGTTATAGACCTTTTAAATGGATTGACCCTTTCAGACAAGTAGGTGAACTTTGACCAAAAATTTCTCTATGTTTTTATATTACAGTTTACTGAACAAGTTATAGTTTTCTAGAATACAATTTCATTACCTACATTTTAAAAGCAACCCGAAGTCGATCGGTCAACAGTAAGTGGAGATATGAAACAAAAGAGAAGAGTAGTCCAACTCAGATTCTCTGAGGGGGGTCAGAGAAATCTCTGAGGGGGGTCAGAGACTCATTTCACTTTAACCCTAATTTTCTCCATAATTTTATTGGTAAGTCTATAAAATAAATTATACATTTCTTGACTGAAATTTAACGTAGATTCTAATGATAGTAAGCAGAAGTCGATTGAATTCTTAGCTCTTCAGTTATAAACCTTTTAAATGGATTGACCTTTTCAGACAAGTAGGTGAACTTTGACCGAAAATTTCTCTATGTTTTTATATTACAGTTTACTGAACAAGTTATAGTTTTCTAGAATACAATTTCATTACCTACATTTTAAAAGCAACCCGAAGTCGATCGGTCAACAGTAAGTGGAGATATGAGACAAAAGAGAAGAGTAGTCCAACTCAGATTCTCTGAGGGGGTCAGAGAAATCTCTGAGGGGGGTCAGAGACTCATTTCACTTTAACCCTAATTTTCTCCATAATTTTATTGGTAAGTCTATAAAATAAATTATACATTTCTTGACTGAAATTTAACGTAGATTCCAATGATAGTAGCGAAGTCGATTGAATTCTTAATCTTGAGTTATAACCTTTTAAATGGATTGACCTTTTCAGACAAGTAGGTAACTTTGACCGAAAATTTCTCTATGTTTTATATTACAGTTTACTGAACAAGTTATAGTTTTCTAGAATACAATTTCATTACCTACATTTTTAAAAGCAACCCGAAGTCGATCGGTCAACAGTAAGTGGAGATGACAAAGAGAAGAGTAGTCCAACTCAGATTCTCTGAGGGGGCAGAGAATCCCTGAGGGGTCAGGGCTCCTTCCTCCCCCTATTTTTTGGTGTCTTATAATTTCTTTCTTCTGAATTTGTTCTATTTGGTCTACTCTCTTCCTTTTGGTCCTTCCGTGGTGCTTCTTTTTTTTTTCTGAAGTTTATCTAATTTTCTTCCTCATTTTAGCCCCGCGTCGGTCAGTGGTAGTGGAATGGAAGGGTGTCCTGTTCTTGGGGTGGTCTCTGAGGGTCAGAGACCCATCCCTCCCTAATTTTCTCCATAATTTTATTGGTGAAGTCTATAAAATAAATTATACTTCTTGACTGAAATTTAACGTAGATTCCAATGATAGTAAGCAGAAGTTGATTGAATTCTTAGATCTCGAGTTATAGACCTTTTAAATGGATTGACCCTTTCAGACAAGTAGGTGAACTTTTGGACCGAAAAATTTCTCTATGTTTTTATATTACAGTTTACTGAACAAGTTATAGTTTTCTGGAATACAATTTCATTACCTACATTTTAAAAAGCAACCCGAAGTCGATCGGTCAACAGTAAGTGGAGATAGGAAACAAAAGAGAAGAGTAGTCCAACTCAGATTCTCTGAGGGGGTCAGAGAAATCTCTGAGGGGGTCAGAGACTCATTTCACTTTAACCCTAATTTTCTCCATAATTTTATTGGAAGTCTATAAAATAAATTATACATTTCTTGACTGAAATTTAACGTAGATTCTAATGATAGTAAGCAGAAGTCGATTGAATTCTTAGCTCTTCAGTTATAAACCTTTTAAATGGATTGACCTTTTCAGACAAGTAGGTGAACTTTGACCGAAAATTTCTCTATGTTTTTATATTAGAGTTTACTGAACAAGTTATAGTTTTCTAGAATACAATTTCATTACCTACATTTTAAAAGCAACCCGAAGTCGATCGGTCAACAAGTGGTAAGTGGAGATATGAGACAAAAGAGAAGAGTAGTCCAACTCAGATTCTCTGAGGGGGGTCAGAGAAATCTCTGAGGGGGGTCAGAGACTCATTTCACTTTAACCCTAATTTTCTCCATAATTTTATTGGTCAAGTCTATAAAATAAATTATACATTTCTTGACTGAAATTTAACGTAGATTCCAATGATAGTAAGCAGAAGTTGATTGAATTCTTAGATCTCGAGTTATAGACCTTTTAAATGGATTGACCCTTTCAGACAAGTAGGTGAACTTTGACCGAAAATTTCTCTATGTTTTTATATTACAGTTTACTGAACAAGTTATAGTTTTCTAGAATACAATTTCATTACCTACATTTTAAAAGCAACCCGAAGTCGATCGGTCAACAGTAAGTGGAGATATGAGACAAAAGAGAAGAGTAGTCCAACTCAGATTCTCTGAGGGGGGTCAGAGAAATCTCTGAGGGGGGTCAGAG